TAATGTAATATATGGCACTGCAATAAGCTATTCTGGTTAAAATGTAGCTAATGGAGGCCCTAGCTTAGTGGCTAGATTTTCAACATTACACAGTAGCAAATAAGCTAGAGAAGTTTCAGCTGTGGGTCAGCCACAACCTCTGACAAGAACCAGCTCTCCGGGACAAAACCACATAGCTGTGTGATTTCATTGAAAAAAATATAAAAATAAAAAAACAACCAAATTTTACAAAAGTTGGAACTTTATTCATTATTACTAAGAAATGTAGTGTGTACTTGATAAAAGCACCTACTTCTGTCCCGTAGAGTTATCAAGAGAATTGCTGAAAAGGGTCTTCAATCTCTGCAAAGAAAGAATTCACTTTCCAGATGTCTGTAGCATCCAGCAACTACTATAAATTTGACTGAAGGCTTCTGAGTATTACAAGTTTTGACAATTCAGTTACTTCATATCCAAACTGTGAATGCTGGAATCTACCAGTAAGCTTGTTCTTTTGAAAACTATGGCCAAAGAATCTTTGTGTGTGTCTACATATAAATATATAATTTCTAATGGATTTTTAGGTACTCAGAGCTAAACAGAGTCAGAAATCACTGAGACATAAATATCACTGTAATGTAAATATATTTGCCATTTAATCCTGATAAATACTGGATTACAGACTTCAGAACACAGACTGACAATTATTGGAAATCATGTGGTTATCTCAAGTATACAGGATTTCAATTAAAATAAAACCATAAAATCCTTTTTCTTTTAAAAGTACCATCTAGCATATAATTTATTTGGATGAACTCTACAAATATACGCATTATATCATGCTACAAGAACTTGAGAACCAGTTTTTTCTTGTTCCCAGGGTCTCCTGACTGATGGTAAGACATTACAGTCATAATGATAGAATCGGTTTACAGTTGCAAATTCTGCCAAATATCTCACAAATTATATTTGGCAAACAGCACTGCCCCTGTTTCACAAAGATAATGAGCTGATGCTTTGTTTATGTGGCACCAAAGGAAAATATTGGTTTAGAGCTTGTGATAGAATTCCAAAAAGTTTGTGTGGTATTCTAAACTTCTGATACACTTAATAGTTACTGTGTTATTGAACACAGACTAACATGGATTTTAAAGTATTGTGCAAAAAATTTTAAAAAAATTAAAATAATAATAATAAAAACAACACACACCCTCTTCAATTAAATAGGTTGTGTCCATTTTATTTCCTCAGTGTTCACCCAGACCTGCATAGGGGTTGGTGTGGACCTGCATGCAATACTTTTTACATCTGATGGTGTTGACCATCCAGATGAGTTGTCACAAAGGTTACACACCTGTACTGGAGTTAGTGTTATCAGAGTGCTTTTAGGATGTAGCCTGAAACCCACTGCACACAAAGGGAAACGTGCTACATCAGACTTAGGCCACCTAGAAGACTGCAACCAGCAGGCAGTTTGGAAAGGAAAACATCATAACCTTGACAAAGCTATTCTTTGGATGACTGAGGAGAAAAAACAAAGGAGTGGTGGGTTTGAACTGAATCTGAGACTCCAGTCTGAGATAGGCAGTTTCCATTCTGTATCCAGTGGTACAAACCTACTTTGTAAAGACTTAACTGTATTGGTAAATTCACTGGGAATTTGTTTTGGTAACAGCATCAGAGCAAGGGTAGAGCATACCACACCAGTAGTGGGTCCAGGTGGCCTGACACAGTTGGCACTGCAGCCAGACTGTCAGCAGCCTCAACTGGCATGTCCTAGATCTTTCTGTGTCCTCCAGTGCTGGCACAGTAGTGTCCCAAGGAAGGTTCGTTCTAGGAGCCAAGTGCTATTTCTTGAGTCTAGGAGACAGTCTTTGATTCTTTATCTAGCTGGTTGGATGTGGTGGGCAGGATGTGTTGTGGGACTGCTGAAGGGTGGCAGAGGAGGCATTGGTCAAAAGGGAAGGGCAAGCTGGTGCACATCACTGATCTCAGCAAAAAGGTTGTCCTGTCCCTGGGCAAGAGGCCAGACCCAAGGCCTTCATCTTGGTGGTGGCATCAAAGAAAAACCCTGGGACCATTAGGACCACATCAACCTTGACACTGACCATGTAGAGTGGTTTGGGGAACCTCCTCTGAAGTTTTCTGAAGGAGATGAAAACCAGAGATTGTGGAATGGGTTAGTGTGGAAGAAGAGAAAGATGGAGAGGGTCCGAACTCCTCTGATTTTACTGAGAGACTGGAAGAAGTGACACTCAGACTTGCTTGAGGTTGCACCAGGTTGAGATCAAAAGAGACAATAAAGTACCCAGATACCATGAGCAAGGTAAGGGGTGGTAGCCCCTTCAACTGACATGTGTGGCTCTTCTGACAGCTCATATTTCTATCTGTCTTCTTACTACAGATTCACTAGTGCAAACACAATGAGATCTTTTAGGGGTTTATACAAGTTTACTATCAAAATACTGGCTTCAAGTCCAGATCCTGGTTATGTTTGGGCATGAGAGGCTGCAACTGCTAATAACTAACGCTAAGCTGACCTTCGTGCTGCCATCTAGTGTTTCCTTATAGACAGAAGCAACATCCCAAAAAAACTTTGAAGCTCCTCTCTCCCTAATGCTGTGTTCAGAAAAACTAATTCATTCCTCCTGAAATACAGTGCTTCACAAGCTGAAGGAGAGGGAATGAAAAAGCCAAGTGCAGGACGCAGTGCTCAGGATGAACGCTCAGGGAGACACCTTTTCTTAATAAAAAAATTGTAACGGAGAGAGACATCTCCAGAGCAAGATAATTATTCACAACTAGAATTTGTCCTCATTTGTTTTTCACCCTGTGAAATTAATGTCTGTTTGCAAGGTGTAAACATACACAACAGAGCAAGAATACAAGCAGAAGCTTGTCTTAATGGAGAGAGAACAGCATAAGAAGCTTGGTGGGTTTTTCTTGTCGGTCCTTGCCACTCATAAAAAACCTGTGAGTTATGTTTACTTCACAGCCATCAGATGCCTATTTTTGTTTGAAGTATACATGATTGCTAACAAGAGGTAACAAGTTATTGCTAGGGCACATGCAAAAAAAATTGATTCTTGGCTCTTCAAAGCTGGATCCTTGGCTTTGAGGAGCAGTAACAGGATGCTTTTCCAACTGTTGCACATCCTGGATTCATGCTGGAACTGTAGAACTCTAACCCTAATAATAACAATTCAAGAGTTCATGTGGGCTGGATGATGCAACTGCAACAGAGAGAGCATTCTTTTTCCCCAGGCTTCTTTAAGGTGTTTTGAGTCCAAGTCCAAAACAAACATGAAGCATCCAAAATAATTGTTCTCTTTTGGAGACCCTGACTTTTAAGTTTTGCTTCCTTGCAGGAAAGCTGCCAGGAAGGACTGCACAAGTGAAAAATGGCAAAAATCAGCTAATTGAAGAAAACAGACCGCCCAGAGGGAAAGGAAAGCCATAATGAGCAGCCTTTAAAAGGCTCCTGCTGGCATTGTGTGAAATCAGGTATGAACTTAGTAATGGGCAGGAAAGTTCTCCCATTTTTAATAACATGTGGCAGTATTAGAAGACATGTGCATTTGAACACTATGTATACAAACTGGCTGCAGGTCCTCAGTGCCATCTTAACAGGGCTTGTTTAGGACATGGAATATCAGCAGAGCAAATATCAGAACAGAACCAAACACTTCAGCAGAAAGGATTATGTACTTCTCTATTTAAAAATCACCTCTCAGGTCAAAACATGAAAGCTGTCTCAGGTCCTTATGTCTTTCAAAGACCTAGTCCACAGAACAGAAGGTCCTCAGATGTGTAGTAGTAGAGTCCATATGTCTCATTCAAACTATTTGTGTATTTTCACCAAGAGAACAAGAACATCCCAATCCCACTAGAACCTACTGCTGGATTAAGGCATCATTATTCTTCCTCTCCAGCAGTTGGTACTAGGCTGTAATATCCATGTAGGTACCAAAAGCTTTTTCCTAAACACGCTGAACAAAAAAAGCAGCCTTTCTTTATGCTTAGTGGGCTTTGAATTCAGATCCAACAGGGTTGTATGCTCTGAATATAGGGGTTTATTTTCCAAAGTTCATATTTAATGGTCACTGCAGTGGAAAGAAGTCAAATTCTCAGTTCCATGTTCTATCAAGTCATTATGATATTCAGCAAGGATATGTGAATGCAAAAAAGATTGCTTCAGTTCTCTCCCATAGTGCTCAGGATTTCTATGGATTAAGAAAGAGCAAGAGGCTCCTGTTTTACAGCTTCATCTCCAAAGAGCCCATTTGAGAATACCATGAGGCAGAGGCTTGAAAACCAGGCGCGTGTGTCTGTAAGTAGTCTCTTTGGGATCTGCATCATCTGCTTGCTTGCAAAGTGGTCACACACTTGCTAGCTTGAGGTATGGGGCCCACAGAGCAATGGCTGTACAGTTCCAAAAACAACCTATTCACCAAACAGCAGGGAGAGACTGCTGTTGGGGTTCTGGCAGCAGGGTTCACCAAAATCTGAAGTGAACTGGGGTACTCCTTTCTGCCTGACCACTGCTTTTACTCTATGAGAAAGAGGGTGAGGGCTTTGTGGATAAGACATGGGCCAAAGCCACAGGAATCAGCAAAAAGCTTGGGAAAGGCATGCCATGGTTTCTGCTCTGCTGTCCTCTACCAATCAGCTTAAGAGGACCGATACATTCTTAACTCTTTCTGTAATTTTTTGAGATATTTTTTGTGTAAATGTTGCAAAAGAAAACATATTATTTCTTAAGGAACAAATTTCTCCTCACACTCACGCAACTTCATTTCTCTCCTTGTTCTCTTCCAGTGACAGATTAAACATGCCAATGGGAACCTTGCACAGCTCCAGCACCAGGAAGGATTTTATTTATTTATTTGTTTATTTATTAAATTAAAAGGTACAAGTTCAGTTGTTCTTTTCTTCTCACTTTTGGGGACAGAGAATTTGCCCTTCAGGGAAGCTACTTATGAAGGACATCAGCTTCAGTATGTTACTGGTCTCATGATTCACTATAGCATTTCCCTAGTACCAGGCATGGCTGCTTCCCGAATAAGCAGAGTTAGAACTTTCCTGTAGGTGTCTAAAACTTCTTGGGCAGAAGGCCTTTCAGCTGGGTCCTTCTTCTTACATGCTGCATGGATGTCAAACAAATGCAGTCGCACAATGTCACTTCCTTCAACATGGCCCAAGACAAAATTGGAGACATCTGGGATTTTCCAGATGTCTGTTTTCTCATCGTAGGGAGGCATAAGGTCATCCTCAAACAGCACCTCTTCTCCATAGGGCCAACGCTGCTCAGGAGCTACAAACTCACCCTGGAGCTCCCGATGACCGCACTTCACCAACCTGCCAGCACTCTTGTTCACAAGAGGCAAAGCATCCAAATCGTTCACCAGGATGTGAAAGTCACTTGTTAGGAGATACTGAGAGAGGACCTTATCCAAGTCATTTGAGTCACACATCACTAAGGTGCCCAGAGGGCTGCTGTGCAGGTACCGAATGATGCCCACGTACTCTATAGCGAGCATGAACCTGCGATGCCAGGTGTTCATGCCCTTGTACCTGGGGATGTGGAGAGTTTCGTTCAGGCCCCTCAGGGAGCCTAGAGGATGGTACTCAGTGAGGATTGTGAACTGCTGCTCACAGTAGCCAAGCAGCCGGACAACATGCTTGCTTTGAAGTGCTTTCAGCATCTTCAGTCCATGGAGAAAGTCCTCCTTCAGTTCTGAGTTGGTGAGCTGTGAAAGGACCACTTTGTTTTCCTTCCACTCAGAAAGGAAGGCCTGAGAACACACAAGAGACACGTAAGACACGTGGAGAGCTTTCTTCCACTGCCTGCAACCAGCTGCCACTGACCTACAAGTGACTGCTTAGTCACAACTACAAATTACAGTCACCAGGCATGAAGCCAAACCTTTAGGTAGGGGCATGTTACTTGTAAGCCCTGACCCATGTCATAATTATATCATTATTTCCTAAGTTTTCTTTAGAACGGGCAATGCAGATTAGCTACATTATTTCACACCACCCACCCAGCCAGTCTTACTCTGCCATGATTATACCATGCTCCACAAGTGGTTCACTGATCTCTGTGATTTTGCTTGTGCAGATGGATGTCTTGGTGTCAGTGAGGTGGCCCAGGACGGGTCACGTTCTCCTACCTGTTCTGTGCACTTTATGAGTAGCCATATGCCCCTGGGTGTGTACAGTAATTAGCTACTGTGAGGATAACTGTGGCAGCAGAATGGGCATTAATTAGCCAGCAAACAGTGAATGGTCTTTATCCAGAGGGGAGAAGGAAGGATAACCAAACTCACCTTCTTCACAGCGCCTTCACCAACACACTTGAGTTTCCTCACTTCCCTATTTATGGCTTCGCAGGAGAGCCACGGTGAACAATTCTTCATCGCTCCCAGTTTGAAGTGCCCAGAAGGGCAGAGGCCGGGGTCTGTTTCGGCGCGCCCCGAAGAGGTGTACAGCTTGCTGAGGCACAGGTAGAGCAGGGCATTGAGGAGCAGGACAGCCCCAAGCAGTACCACCAGCGAGGCGGACGACACCTCCCTGGGAGGAAACTCCCTCCTCACCAAGTGCGGTTTCTTTTCCACGGCCATGCCTCCTACCCTCTCCGTGAAACAGGGAGGCGAAGCCAGACCCTCTTCCCGGCCCGGGGATGAAGGTCTGCGGGGCTTTTTCATCGCAGGCCGCACGGCTGCCCCAGCGCAGCCCTGAGCCCGCGGCCTGCCGGCCGGGGCGCGGCGCCCCCCCTCCTTC